GACTCAGGAGAACAAGAGCTTTCAAATGAAAATTTATCTTCTGAAAAACCAAAGGAATAGAGAACATGGTCGTCAAGAGAGTTACAAATTTATTAAATAAAAATTAAAACATCGGAATTGTGTGTCTGTCGTGATCCATACGTCTCCAGTAACGCGATGCTCCGAAGTTCGAGCGCAATGCCACGTTGCATGTCCAGTTGGAACGGCGGTTCTCATCTACACAATATATTCTCATCGACCCAATCATCTCATCCTCGACAGCAAAAATGGCTCGTAGAGTGGAACTGAGGTTCCAGTAGTGTCGGCGACCTTTGCGAAGTTCTGTTCTTTTTGAGTTGAACTCGGTAGGAAGCATCTTCGTCCGTATCTCTAGTGACAGCAAAATCTCGTTGTAGCAATCAGCGACAACTGCTGATGGAGCCTTCCCTGCTTTCCACGCGACACCTAGAGTTATTATATTATATCTATTTTATCTCAATGTGTTTTATGATGGTGTTACTTTGATAATAGTCCTATCTCATGGTTTGCTCACAAGTTGCTCATTCGTCCGCTCATCCGTATCCCATTTTCGAGCCTTGGCTTCCTGTGGCTTTTCGACCGTGTTTCCGGTTCCATGAGTGATATACAACGTAGTAAAATGAATCCGTACTCGATATACATTTCACGCAGTAAACGAATTTGCCAGGTGTAATGGTGTTTCTGCTCCTTTTTGCCTGAAAATAAGTTAATTTGAGATTCGAACTGCAACATGAACAAATAATCTTTTTTGCGTGAAGTACAGTTGCAAAAATTCTTCGCGCCTTCATTTTCAATTTCGAAGATTAAACCAGTCTGACTCATCGAGTCATTCATTTTTGGCTTCATGACTAATCTCTAAGAGATCGTTGAGATTGTCTTTCGCACGAAAATATCTCACGTTATGACTGTAAAAGCGGAGAATCAAATGCCGGAAAATCAGAAATCTTGTTGAGCTGAAGCATCAATAAACAAGTTGGGCCATATGATTCGAAAATGCAAACATTCTTCTTCGTCTGTTTATCAATATTTCGAATTCGACGATGCCAAATTATTCGTGTTTCTTGAAGAGAAGTTCCTTGTTTGGAGGCTGACGATGCAATTTGACGTGCTGAAAAACTGAGTGTTGTATTGTAAACCGAATATTCAACTGTATTCTTTCGGCTAGCTTTGAAACTGGCATCGATTTTCTTTGAAGGCAAAATGAACTCACCTCTGGCCTTAGTAAGCGGGACACCTGAATCAGCATCTTATGGGTCAGACCCTTACATATGCAGATGGTTCTCCGATGATGGGGATTTCAATGGTTTATTTAGGGGAGATTTTGGGGAATCATTGACGAATTTTTCAAATTCTTCTGTTGAAATACGAAGCGCTCGACTGTTCATTTCACTTCGACTTCCTGCGTCTATCATTTTCACTTGATACTCATCGATTCTCTTTCAGAAAGCCAAAAGCCAACAATGAAATGGACCATGGAAATGGACGCTGACGAGGAAGAGCCGGGTAATGATAATACAAAAATTTAGTTATTGTTTTCGAATATCTTGATTTTTAAGAGACCAAGAGAAGGTGGACTGGTGGAAGAAAGAGAGCAGGACTCCAGAGTGTGAAACTGGACGTTGCGGAATTGAATTAATTACCCTTTTTTTTCCTTTTTTTTCTTCCTAGCTCTTATCCATCAAGTTTTTTGTCCCTGTCTCAATTTTCTCAACCTGCTTCCCCAGAATAGGAATTTGTTTAGCTTATTTCTACATAACACATCTACCAAACAGAACGGCTTTCACACCGTGTCCCATTTTATGACCATTTTTTTTAATTAAATTAAAAAAAACCACTGATCTACCCAACTATCAATTGGATCACTTCTAGTCTAACAAACATATACGCTTCTCCCTACTCGTAATCCTGAGCACTAAGAGAAAGGCAAACAAAACCTCTTGTTTTACGAGAATGACGTCAAAATGCTCCAATTTTTCTTTCAAACACCGAATCAGTTTCAGTTCCGTTACAGATTCGATTTTCTTTGAAGAAAAAATGAATTCACCTTTGGTCCCAGTAAGCGGAAAAATCAGCATCTTGCGAGTCTCCGATGGTGAAGTTGATGAACACAATAAACGATCTCGTAGAATGGAACGGATTTAAGTCACGACGCTCGTCCATTAATCGACAGCATTTTGAGTCTTGTTAATGATTCACAATAGATCCGCAATTTCGGGATGAAAGCATAGGAACTGTAATTTTTCATTTTATCAGAAGCTCTGCGAAATGTACTCACTCACTTCAATATATATATATATATATATATATATATATATATATATATATATATATATATATATACAGTACTGGCCATAAAGAATGCGACAACTTGTTTTTTGACGATAACTTTTTGAAAACTCAACTTTTCAACTCGAATTTTTTACTGTAGACACATTGGAAAGTTACGAAAACTTGCGTACTTGGAAATTGCATCATCTTGCAAACAAAATTTTTTTTCAATTGTTTTCTTTTTTTTTTTCATTTTGCATATTTTTCATGATTTTTGGTTTTTTTAAATAAAGTTGAAAGACAACTAATTGGAATTAGTTTTAGTTATTGTTTTATTGTTTTTCAGATATGGTTAGACCATTCGGGAAAAAATCCTTCTCTGTGGACGAGCGAAAAAGCATTGTGCGTGGTCATGAACTCGGCGCGCATCCGAAGATACTTGCAACTCAGTTTAGTTGTTCTTCCAGCCAAATTTACCGTATTCTGAAGAAAAATCGAGATGATGTGAGGTTTCAATCAGCTTTCTCAACTAAATTTAACAATTTAGAATGGCGTTGTTCATCGCCAATCTCCAGGAAGACCCCGAACCACTTCCAGAAATATGGATCGGAACATTTTGCGCGCATGCCGAGAAGATCCTAGACGCACATCTACGGATATTCAACTTTCTGTGACGTCTCCAAATGAACCGGTACCATCGAGAAGAACTATTAGAAGACGTTTGCAAGTTGCTGGACTGCACGGACGAAGACCAGTCAAAAAACCACTCGTCAGTTTGAAAAACCGAAAAGCTCGCGTTGAATGGGCTAAACAGCACTTGTCCTGGGGCCCCCGTGAGTGGGCAAGTCACATCTGGAGCGATGAATCGAAGTTCAATATGTTCGGAACTGATGGTATTCAGTGGATTCGACGTCCCATTGGCTCCAGGTATGCTCCACAGTACCAATGTCCAACTGTGAAACATGGAGGTGGATCTGTGATGGTTTGGGGATGCTTCTCCGACACTTCTATGGGACCATTGAAGAGAATCGTTGGAACCATGGATCGATATGTGTACGAAGACATCCTGGAGAACACAATGAGACCATGGGCAAGAGCAAATTTGGGCCGATCGTGGGTGTTCCAACAGGATAATGACCCGAAGCATACTTCGGGTCATGTCGCCAATTGGTTCAGACGTCACCGTGTGAACCTCCTAGAATGGCCAAGTCAATCTCCAGACTTGAATCCCATCGAGCATATGTGGGAGGAGCTGGAACGCCGCCTCAAAGGAGTCAGAGCATCCAATGCCAATCAAAAGTTTGCTCAACTCGAAGCTGCTTGGAAGAGTATCCCGATGACGGTGGTTCAGACGCTCCTGGAGTCGATGCCACGTAGATGCAAGGCTGTTATCGATGCGAAAGGATACCCAACGAAATATTAAATCACTTTTTATTGTTCCCTTTATTTTGTTTTTGACCTCCGGTGTTTCTTGAGCTTCTTTGTACAGATCTCCAAAAATGTCATTTTCATGAATTTTCGAAAAAAATTAATTTTCAAAAAAATTGTAGCAGAATATTAAAACCAACTTAGCCTAAAAGTTTTTGATAGTGCTGAAAAAATCTTACCAAAAATTCGGATTGAAAAGTTGAGTTTTCAAAAACTTATCTTCAAAAAACAAGTTGTCGCATTCTTTATGGCCAGTACTGTATATATATATATATATATAGAGATGGCCAGTTCTGTATATATATATATATATATATATATTAGATCATAACTACGAGTGGGTTGTCTTACTCCGCCTGCGAGAGGTAGGAGCTTCATAAGTGTTGCTCGATTTTTCAACATGTTTCTGGATAGAGCTTTCAGATGAAGCGTTGGCTAGACTGCAAAACAAAAAAATTGGTGGTGAAAAATGGGAGAAAATAAAACTCACGATTTGTCTGTGTGAGGAACACAAAGAGAAGTCACTCGTAAGCCGCTGGAAACTGATGGGTGTTGCAGTGGGCGGAAGCTAGAGTGGAACCTTCTTCTCCAGCAATCATATGACGTGCATCTATTATTTTCCAGTCAGTAGAGCTTCGAATATTCTATCTTGTCGCCAGCTTACTTTCAGTAGATCATAGATGTGAAGAATCCTTTTTGTTTGTTGTCGTTAGTGTGGTTTTTGGTGACAGCCTTCTGGACAGCCTCATAAAAGCACACTGGAGCGCAAGGGTTGTGAACTCGGAAGCCGCTCATAAAATAGTGACCGCCCGGAAGAAGGGTGAAAATAGTTCGAAGAAGAAGAAGAGATCCGCGTCGTTCCTGCCGAGTTTCCGGGACATTCGACATAGGTTGACGAATATGAAACGGGCTAAGAGTCCTAGTCCAGAACGTCTTCAGACTGGACATTCTGATGTGGAGCCCAAGTTCACTGATACAACAAGCTCATCGGATCTTTACACGGATTCTCAGATTGCTCATCGTAAGAAGGTCGCTAGAAATGAGTCGAACACAGCGTCCACTGGATCCACGGCGTCTGGACGGCAATCCAGAAGCCAGCAGTCGGATTTAACGATTCCGAGCAGCAGAGCACTTCGAAGACTATTCCAATTTCTGGTTGAAGATGTATGAGCAATGGCTGTGCACCCTCAAATTCTTGTAATCCGAGCCTGGAAATTATCTAAAAAATGCTTTAAAATTCTGAAAATTTCAGACCAAACTCTCACCAAATTATTTTTTTTCTAGGATTTCCAGCAGGATTTTCAGCAGGATGAGCAATAAAAATAGAGATTTATAGTCAGAAAATTAGAAATAATTATAGTGAATAATCAGAAAAATCAAAAAAAGAACTTTCCAGAATTCCATACAGTAGGATTTCTTGGAAAAGTTTAGAAAGTATAGAGACGTCTATTCAGTCAGGTCGTCCGAAGGGAGAATGAGGTGACCGCGCAGCTGTTAATGGGGCCATTTCTATTTCTCTGCTCCGCCCACTTTTGGGTCAGAGACGCAGTGTGTCTGGCTTCTCTGCACTCTAGCCTCATAAACTACCGTAACTTTCTTAATTTTCAATCAATTTTATTGAAAAATAGAGACATGGATCGGTCTTGTTGAGAGCTTCAAAATGAGTATAAACACGAGTAAGCTCCGCCCACTTTTGGGATTTTCGACTTTTTTCGACTTCGCGCATGGGGGTCCGGCTTTTTTAAAGTGGGCAAAAAAGGGGGTCATGATTATATTCATTTTGAAGCTTAAAACTAGTTGAATTCAAAAAAATTGATAATTGTCAAAAATTCAGAAAAATAAAAAATTTATAGGGAAAAAAGGAGAAATTAAAATTTTTTAATTTTTGTAATTCTGCTCATAAATTCATAGAATTTTGGAATTTTGTGTTAAAACCTATTAATTTGAATTTGGCGCGTTAAGAGCTTCAAAATGAGCCTAAACACGACTAGGCTCCGCCCACTTTGAAAATTCCCAACTACAGTATCCCTCAAAGTACCGTATCTCAGTCAGTTATGCTTCAAACTCAATGATTTTTAGATGTATCGATTTCTCATGTTTTGGGCTTTAAAATGAGTATAAACACGACTAGGTTCGGTGCATTTTTCGGGTTACTGTAACTTTCGCGGTGGGACCCGAAAAAAGCGAATTCCACCAAACCTAGCCATGTTTATACTTTTTTTGAAGCTCTTAACGTGCCAAATTCAAATTTGACGTTTTCGTCTCAAAATTCCAGAATTCCAAGAAGTTATGACCCGAATTCAAAAATCCCAAAATTTCCGAAATCTCTTTTTTCACTCATAACTTTTTTATTTCACCTAGTTTTTGAAAATAAACTATTTTTTTGAATTTGTCTTGTAGAGAGCTTCAAAACGAGCCCCAACACGCCTAGGTTCGGCTCACAGGGAGGCGAACTACAAAAAGCTACAGTAATCCAAAAGAACTGCAAAAATTGAAATCTACCGTAACTCGCTTCGTTTTGCTTCGATTTTATGAAAAATTTAAATTTGAATGTCCGGCGTTAAGAGCTTCAAAATGAGCCCAAACACGAGTAGGCTCCGCCCACTTTGAGTTAAAATGGGGCGGAGCTTGCTCATCATATCGTTCCAAACTGGAAAAATGTCTGAAAATGTGTCTGGAAAAGCGAATTTTCTTATAACTTTTAATTATTTTTATTACAGTAGGCTATTAATACAAAAAAGGAGAGAAATTTTTGAAACAATTGAGCAAAAATGGCAGGGAAAAAACTAGAGACAGACTATATAAAGTGAAAAAAGTACCCGAAAAAATGAAAAGGATCAAACTGGGATCAAAATGGACCGATTTGATGGATTTTTACATGAGAAAGAAATTACATGGAAAACTGGAGGAAAGGGAATTTTAAGCTCTAAAAATTGATTTTTCAGTGCCAAAAAAGCTGGAAAAGGTCTTAAAATTAGAATTTCAGCTCTGAAAATCGAGATCTTGGGGTCCAAAAGTATAAGGATATCAATTTTCAGCTGAAAAATTGACATTTTTGGGCACAAAATTACGGGAAAATAAACTTTTTCAGGTCCAAAATCGCTAAAAATCACATTTCTAGACTTAAAATCGATTATTTTGGACCAAAAAAAGGTCATTTTAAGCCTAAAAAATAGCGTCAATATCGGGAAGATTCTCCAGCTGTTCCCCTTTCGACGTCTTCTGATCCTCTCCGCCTCCATGAACTCTATTGATGTGTTTCCTCAGCTCCGACGGCACGATGAACGTCTTCTGACAGTGGGGACATTCGGTTCCTTGTTTTCCAGAATGAGCGCGAGTGCGGTGGGTGGTCAGTGCGGCACGGGTCGTCAGTCGTTTTCCACAGTCGACGCACGCGTATTGATGGGTTGGCTAGAAATTTTGGAGGGTTTAGTGTCATTTTCAGCATTAAAAAGGGGCTGAAATTCGCTAGAAACTTGTAAAATGACCATTTTTCAGCCAAAATCGACATATTTTTAGAAGAAATGATCAGAAATTGAAGAATTTAGGTGCATTGAAAATGTCCTATAATTCTCTAAATTCCAACTTTTCTCAAATTTTCAAGGCTTTTTGACCTCTAAATAATACCTATAAATTTGCGATTTTCCCGCCAAATTTTCAAAAATCGAAGAATTTGAAGTCGTTATTTGAACTACAACGGGCTTTATTTGACTAGAAAAATAGAGCTATTTACTGCTACTGGAATCCAAAAATTAGAAATTTCAGGTCATTTTCATACCCGAAAATACCGGAAATGACTCAAAATTCCACGATTTTCACCCAAAATTTCTCATTTTCAGTTTATTTCACTCACCGATTCAATAGTATTCGTGACATATCTAACAGCGGTGACACTTGGATCGTCCTTAACCTCCGGATGCTTCCTTCCAACATGTCTCAACATCGATTGTCGACTAGCGAAAGCCTCCCCACAAACTGAACACGATTTGTCTCTAAATGACACCACCGGACTGCTCAACGGACTTCTAAACGTGCTTGGACCGGGTTGATAGCTGCTGAACGACGCACAACTGATTGTAGACATTGCAGGGCTCGTTGGCGTGCTCTGCGCCTTTAAATTCCTCCGCTTTTCCGCAATTTTCTCCTTGTTGAGGCAGTAGTAAGTGTGTCGCTTGAAAATCTTCTCCGAGTAGTGGATTCCGCATTTTGGGCACTTCTTTCTACCGTAGTCCTCGTCATCCTCCATTTTCTCTACTAGATCTTTTTCTCCATGGATTTTAAGCTCATGAACGTGTAGAGTGGCCTGCGATTGAAAAACCAACGAGCACTTTGAGCACGGAATCTCCTTGTTGTGCAAAAGTTGATGAGTCGCCAGATTCTTCTTATGCTTGTATCCTTTTCCACACAGAGTACACTTGAATCTCTGGCCAGATAGATCGTGGAACGTCTCCGTGTGCTTCTGAAGTTGTTGGGGGTCGGGGAAGGCTTTGGAGCACATGACGCAGATGTATACGGATTCTGATACTCGTTTCTTCTGGAGCGCTTCTAGACGCTCTTGCTTGTCCTCCTCAGCCCATTCGGCTTGTTTTACCTTCATGATAAGGGCGATTTCCTGGAAAATAGGTCATTTTTAAGTGTAAAAATAGCTTATTTGTAGCTTATTTAGCTTATTTTTAGCTTATTTTTTTAGTGCTGAAAAACTATTTTTTCGCTTAGAAATCACAATTAAAGCCCCTAAAAGGCTGAATTTTCAACACTAAAACCCGATTTTTCGCTAAAATTTGATTCAATTTAAGGTATTTAGTGATTTTTGGTCCACAAAATGTCGATTTTAAGTCTGAAAATGTGCTATTTAGTGATGTGATTTAGGACCCAGAAAATCTGCATTTTCGGAGCTAGAATCTCATTTTTGAAGGCCTCTTCCACCTTTTTTGGATCCGAAAAATCGATTTTTCCGAGCGAAAAACCCCGATGTTTTGCTCAAAAATTACCTTCGCCTCCTTCTCCAATTGCTCATCTCCAGCATCCTGAAGACGTTGCTCGATTCTCTCTTTCAGACCATCATAAACGTCTTCTCTCTCGTATGGATACTTGATAGCGACGTCTTCTTCCTCTACCTCCACGTCATCCTCATCATAGGTATCCGGAACGTCTTCTATCTCCAAAAATTCCCTCTCCTTAGTCTCTTCGGCTCCGAAATCCAGCTCATTGAGCAGCTGATTGAATGCATGGATATTTTGTTGAGTTTTCTGAAAATGCTAAAATTAGAAAAATTGGGTCGCCGGTACCCCGGAAGACCTCAGCACGAGTCGTCTGAGTAGGTTTAATTATTGCCCAAGTTTGAGTTTTTTAGGTTTAATTACTCTTTTGGTTGGTTTAATTACATTTTATTTGTTTGAGGGTAAACATTTTGACTGACTTTTTGAATTTTTTTTTCCGCGATTTTTCTTTATTTTTATAGAATTTCTGGGTTATTGACATCACTGTCTTCAAAAAAAAGTACAAAAAACCCGAAGAAAATCGACGAAAAACAGCGAAAATCAAGAATTTTGGACGTTGAAAGCTGGGAAAAATTTTTAACCGTTGAAAAATTAGAATCCGAGTTGGCGGTGGACGATGAGCAGCTTGCGACGGGCGTCAGATCGATGAATGACATGATTTTTGGGCGAAAATTGCAGAAAAATCGGAAATTTCGCTCAAAAAACGGGTGAATGGGATTGCGAAAAAACCGATAAACATGTGACTTTGCGCGCGGAGCGGCCGCGTCGCGGTTTGCGCGGAGGATAAGGTGCATTTGGTGTATTGCGGATGACGCGCAATCTTGTTAGCGGGAGTTTAAATAGGGTTTTTGGGAAGGGAAATATGAGGACGGGCTGGGAAAATAGAATAAAAAGCTAGAAAAAAAGAAAAGTACTTAAAAATTGCAGCTAGACCTTGAAGCAATCGGGTGAAAAGTGGTTTTCCTGAAAATTTTCTTTTAAAAGTCGGAGAAAAATTGAGTTTTTCTGATTTTTCTTTTAGTTTTTAGCTAGATTTTGAACAAACTAAGAGGTTCAAACCTTGAATTTTTAGCTTTGAGACATTTTTTGAAGCTCGAAATATGCTTGAAAGAGTCATTTTATTATTGTTTAGCTGGAAATCTATAGAAAATGTGAAAAAATTGAGTTTTAAATATTCATTTTTTCAATCTGAAATTCCAGCTTTTTTCTTTTTTTTTCCTCATTTTTTTCTCAATTTTTATGTTTCTTTTTTCAAATTATTCTCTTTCCCCTCAATTTCCCTTTCTGCAAACACCGCGACGCACTTTCACACATTTTTGCATACCGTAATCCCGACGGGCGCCGCTAATCCATTGTTCACGAGTTCCAGCTCATTTTTGCTCAAAATTCTTCAATTTTTCCCCAATTTTTTCCAAAAAAATCAATTTTCAAACAATTTTCATCAATTTCTGTCGTTTTTTTTTCAATTTTTCTACCAAAAAAACCCCATTTTTCTTCAATCTTTTTAAAAAAATTTTCCGATTTTTTCTGGAAAAAAACCCATTTTCAGCCATGTCCGCCACTCGTAACATGCTCCAGACGTACGGAAAACGGGGAATTTATGTTTCCCTAGCCGCCGCGATCGCCTCGACTGTCGCCTTCAACGCCTTCTACGTCTGGCCACGTCATCACAAGTATGAGGAGTTCTTCGCGTAAGTTTATGGAGTTTTCTAGATCAAAAAATCGAATTTTTCAGTGAAACAACCATTAAAAAACTGTAAAAAATGGTGAAAATTGACTGAAAATTCGATTTTTTCGAAAAAAAATTAGCCAGAAAAAAAATTTTTTTCGATTTTTTTTGGCTTAAAATTAGCCCGAAAAAACAAAAAAAATGGCTCAAAATTGAGCTAAAATTTTGAATTTTCGCCCAAAATCTCAATTTTTCCAGAAACTACGACCCATACACCCGTATGAAGGAGATTTGTGCCGCCAACAAGGGATACATGCACACCTGCCCAAAGGAATTGGCCAAGCTCTACGAGGAGAAGGGAAAATCGATTGCCGAGCACTAAATCACTTTTTTATAGCTATTCTAGTAAAGATTTGTGTCTTTTTTTTTCTGTGTTTTTCGCCTTAAAAATGCTATTTTGCCCCCAAAAATCGGTATTTTCCGTTTATTATGATTTTTTAGCCAATTTTTTTGATTTTTTACATTTTTAAAACTAATTTTCCCCGGGAAATTCAATTTTTCAAGTGCCAAATCCCGATTTTCAGCGATTTCCAGCCAAATTCACGGGCTGCGCGTCATTTGCAATGTATGCGCAGACGACACGCGATATAACCTGGAAGAAAGAAGAAGAAGAAAAAATTTTTTAGATCAAAATTTACAAATTTTTGAGCTTGAAATCTCGCTTTTTCTCTGAAATTTTCGCTTTTATTCCTTGATTTTTAGCCAATTTTTCTCGATTTTTCACTAACTTTTTCTGTAAAGAATGGATTTTTACCAAATTTTCTTGCTATTTTCTGGAAATTCGACTGATTTTTTCTCAAATTTTCAAAGTTTTTTCAATTAAAAATCTAATTTTTCTCTGAAATTTTCCCATTTTCCTTGATTTTTAGCCAATTTTTTTGTAAAAAATTGCATTTTCAACCCATTTTTCTCCAATTTTAGTAATTTTTTGCATAAATTCCAGAAAAAATGGATTTTTTGCTGAAAATCCTACTTTTCTCTGAAATTTTCTTTTTTTTTCTTGATTTTCAGGCAATTTAATCGAATTTTAACAAATTTTCTCCAATTTTAATCTTTTTCTCATGAGAATTTCCAGAAAAAAAATGTATTTTTAGCCGAAAATCCTTTTTTTTTTGCTGAAATTTTATCAATTTTTCTGAATTTTAGCCCATTCTTGCAATTAAAAAATTCCAGAAAAAATAAATTTTAAGCTGAAAATCCTCAATTTTCTCTGAAATTTTCCCTTTTTTCGACGATTTCTAGCCAATTTTTTGTAATAAAAAATTGGATTTTTACCAGATTTTCTTGCTATTTTCTCGAATTTCGACTGATTTTCAACCCATTTTTCTCTAATTTTAGGCCTTTTTTGCATGAAAAATTCCAGAAAAAAAAATGGATTTTTAAGCTTAAAAATCTTATTTTTCTCTGAAAAATTTTTCTTTTTTTTTTCTTGGTTTTTAGTCAATTTTTTTGTAAAAAATTGGATTTTCAACCCATTTTTCTCTAATTTTAGGCCTTTTTTGCATGAAAAATTCCAGAAAAAAAAGGATTTTTAGCTGTAAATCCTTGTTTTTCGCTGAAATTTTCCCTTTTTTCGACGATTTCTAGCCAATTTTTCTTGATTTTTACCCGATTTTTCCCCGATTTTCTCCAATTTTGACCCATTTTTTGCATTAAAAAATTCCAGAAAGCCATGAGCGGATGGCTTCGAAATATCCAAGGACAGCTGTCAGATTTGGCGAACGAGGTGTTGAACGAAGCGAGCGAAGTGCTGACAGAAGCCAGAGAAGAAGTGCCCGATCCGGATGGCGAGATTATTGTGAGAAATTGTGATTTTTGGCGAAAAAATAACTTGAAAATCCGACGAAAATTGGCCAAAATCGACTAGAAAACCCCCAAAAATTGCAAAAAAAAACCATGAAAAAGCAGTCAAAATGCTGAAAAATCACTAAATTCAAAGGATTTAAAAAATAAAAATGCGATTTTTTAGGTTTTCAATGTAATTTTAGTAGAAAAATCCTATTTTTTCGGCTTAAAATGGCTCAAAAATGAACCAAAATGCAGATTTTTCATCCAAAAATCGCTTGAAAATCCCATTTTCCCCAAATTTCCACATTTGCAGGTAGCCAAAAAGAAATGTGCAGAAGCGGAGAAGCAATTGGCCATCGAAATGGCAAAAGTCGAATCGCTGAGCAGCGAGAAAGAGCATTTGGAGCAGCAGTTGTACGATGCACACGTGGAAATGGATGCAATCGGGTCGAAGTTGAATGGAATGGTCAAACAGAGAGATGAGGAGATTAAGAAGCTTAAAGTGAGCGATTTGGAGTGGAAAAATGATTGAAAAAGTGCAAAAAAATCGGGAAAAAATTATTGAAAATGAGCCAAAATTCATGAAAATTGACTGAAAATAGTCCAAAATAGCTGAAAAATGAACCCAAAATGATGGAAAAATGGCTTAAAAAAGCTGAAATTGACGGAAAAAATGGTTGAAAATGAGCCAAAATTGGCTGAAATTGGTCCAAATTTCATGAAGAATCTCAAAATTTGCTGAAAATTGCTGGAAAATGTTGAGAATTGGCTGAAAATTAACTGAAAATTATCCAAAATAAAAAATCTGAAAATGCTAGAAAACGCCGTTTTTGAAGGGGTTTTTCAGCGAATTTTCTGGTCATTTTTTTCAATTCGAATCTCCAATTTTTGTGATTTTGGCTGAAAAAAAAATTCGCTGAAAATCTCGAAAAACCAGCCAGAGACATTCGAATTTCTAGCCAAAAAAACTGCAGAAAAATCCGATTTTGAGGGTTACTGTAGGCCCGAAATTTCGTGTTCTACCCAAAATGCATCGAATTTGACGACAATTTGCACAGAAATCCGAATTTTCTATGCAACTTGTCGTCAAATTCGATGCATTCAATGTAAAACGGTGTTTGCACACAATCGGAGCTACAGTAACCCCAGAAATTGTTATTTTCTGCTGAAAATGACAAAATCTATGTCAAAAAATTTGAAAAAACAGCGAAAACCCAATTTTAGGATTACTGTAATCCTGATTGTGTGCAAACACAGTTTTACATTGAATGCATCGAATTTGACGACAAGTTGCATAGAAAATTCGGATTTCTGTGCAAATTGTCGTCAAATTCGATGCATTTTGGGTAGAACACGAAATTTCGGGCCTACAGTAACCCTCAAAATCGGATTTTTCTGCAGTTTTTTTGGCTAGAAATTCGAATGTCTCAGGCTGGTTTTTCGAGAATTCCACCACATTGGAGCTTCAGCTGCTCGAG